TTAATATATATCTTGCATTGGTAATTTAGATCCTCCAGTAGCATGGGAACTAAATTTTTAAACACTTTGCCCACCTGAAAATGTGTTTTTGTTCTTTTAGAGATGCGGTCTTGCTCCATTGCCCAGGCTAGAGTGCAGCGGTGCCAACTCAGCTCACTGCAGCCCTGACCTCCTGGGCTCAAGCAATCCTCCCACCTCAGCCTCCTGAGTAACTGGGACTACAGGCATCTACCACCATGCCCAGCTAACTTTTTATTTTTTTGTAGAGACAAAGTCTCACTATGTTGCTTGGGCTGGCATCAAACTCCTGGGCTCAAGCAATCCTCCCGCCTCAGCCTCTCAAAGTGCTGGGATTAGATATGAACCACCATACCCAGCCCTAAAAAATGTTTCTATTCTGTCTGTCCTTATCTTTAATTGATAATTTATCTGAGCACATAATTCTAGGTTAAATTTTAGAAGTAGGCTCTAATATCTTCTAGTTTCTGGTGTTGCTACTAAAAACAATATGCCATTCTCATTTCTGATTATTTAAACGTGTACAGTCATTTTTCTTTTCCTTATACTGAGATGCTCAAATTTTCATAATGATGTGTCATGGTGTGTTCTGTTCTATTCATTTATTCCTTCATCCACTCATTCACTTGTAAGTGGACAGCTGATGAACCCTTTCAATCCAAAGACTAACAGCCTTCTGGAAAATTTTCTTATTGCATTTCTCTGATAATTTCCCATTGCTTCTATTTCCCTTTTCCCACATTCTGGAACTGCACTGATTCAGATGTTGAATCTCCTACAACAGGCCTCTAATTTAAAAAAATATTTTCTTCCTTATTATCTAGCTTCTCGTCTTTTTATTCTACTGCCTGAGACATTTGACTTTTTTCTTTGGATCCTTCTAGTGAGTTTACTTGAGCCATCATGTTTTTAATATCTAAGAACTTCCTTTTCATTCCCTGAAAGTTCCTTTTTTACAGTATCCTGTTCTTGTTTCATGATAAAACAATTTCACTTAGCTCTCTAAGAATATTAATTCTAGTCTATTTTTAATGTCTTATTCTGCTCACTGTATTGTCTCTGCTTTGCTTCCACAGAGTGCTTATCTATTATAATAGCCTATGTATCCTTCATGGGTTTTATCAAATGTCTGGTCATCTCAGCTGTCTGCTCATTTTCAAGAACATGAATTTCAACCAAGCCTCCTATTTCCTGGCTCACCTGTTGATACTGTTCGTATATATGTTCCTGCTCAAATCTCATGATGAACTGCAATCCCCAGTGCTGGAGGTGGGCCTGGTGGAAAATGTTTAGATCATAGAATAGGATCCCTCATGGCTTGGCGCTGTCTTCACAACAGTGAGTTCTCATGAGATCTGGTCATTTGAAAGTATATGGTATCCTCCCCTACCCCTTGCTCACTCCTTCTTTTGCTATGTGATGTGACCGGTCCCCACTCTGCCTTCTGCCATGATTATACGTTTCCTGAGGTGTCCTAGAAACCAAGCATATGCCAGCACCATGTTTCCTGTAAAGCCTGCAGAACAGTGAGCTAATGAAACCTCTTTTTGTTATAAATTACCCAGTCTTGGGTATTTATAGCAATGCAAGAGTGCCCCAATATACCTATATCCATGCATTCACAAGCATCTGATACTTCGAATTCCTTAGTCTTAACCAGTGTTCTTTACAAATAAACTTGGTTCTTGCCTTCATCCTCATTAGGCATTTAGCTTTCCCTAGAGTCTGCTAAGTCATTTACCATTTGTCTAACTGCTTTATGGCTTCCAAACTTTTATTGATCTTTCTTGTTTGCTGTCATTTATGGTTTCATGTCTTTTATTCATTCTTTTAGTGATATATAGTGGGACAGAGATACAGGAAGTAAAGATAAATATATACATTCATCTGTCCTTTTCAACCAGAATTCACTTGATTTGATCGTTTTTCAAACCAGGAATTCTTAAGAGTCTGGTTTCAATAAAAGCACTGTCACCTTAAGCCTTTCCTTTCACAACCCCTCTTTGATTTGCATTCAGTTTATATCACCTGCTCACACTAATCACTGCAACAGTGCTTTTCTTCAGGCATAAAAAGGAATAAAGACATTAAAAGAAAAGAAAAACCTCAGCTTTCTCTTTACCCCAGAGGCTATTAGATGAAGTCAACTGTCTTTGGATGCTTTTTAAAAATCTGATCAATATAACTCTCATCTTTGAGATATGATAATAATCAAATCATAAATTTAAAAAAAAGAGATAGTGGTTCATGCCTGTAATCCCAGCACTTTGGGAGGCTGAGCCAGGTGGATCACTTGAGGTCACAAGTTCAAGACCAGCCTGGCCAATGTGGCAAAATTTTGACTCTACTAAAAATACAAAAATCAACTGGGTGTGGTGGCCAACACCTTGTAAACCCAGCTACTTGGGAGGCTGAGGCAGGAGAATTGCTTGAACCCAGGAGGCAGAGGTTGCAGTGAGGTGAGATCGTGCCACTGCATTCCAGCCTGGGTGACAAAGTGAGACTCCATCTAAAATAAAATAATTTTAAAAAAGAGATTAAAAACAAAACAGAGCTAAAATGTTCACATGCACTGTCACTTGAGGTCAAAGGCCAGCAGAGGAAAATACTGTAAAAATCCAGGCATATTTTAATAGTTCTGTCCTTTATATTTTAGCCTGTTATAGGCTGGCAGGTTTTCCCTACATCTACCTAACAACTATGAACAAAACATATCATTTGATCAGGTGATAAGAACACACAAGGAACAGTCTACCTTCCTTGGCTTGCTTTTGGATTTCCCAATATTCTGGTTAGCCTCACCAAGCCAGATAGGTTACAGAAAAACGGGTATATATGCTATAGGACTGTGTTAACAAAAGGAAGCAAGTTACATTTACTTTTCTTCTCCCAGATAATCCTTCAGAATACATGTGAAGACAAATGTGTATCTCTACCAGCACAAGGCATCTTATATACTTTGAAGGGACTATTATATATACCAAAGAGAAATCTCAAGACTTCAGGGTCAACCCGAGGGCTTAAACACAAGTGATTATCCCTGATCCCACCCCAAATCCTACTTAAATACAAGAAAATAGATAAACAAACACATACATCTACAAAAAGAGACACAGGTGGATGAGAAATATCCAAGATTTTCAGAAGACAAAAGCATACAGAAGAATCATAACTGATTTAGCAGCACAGAGGAAGCTGAAACCTAAGCATCTGTATGTAAGGGGAGGTGGGAGGGATGACAGGCAAAAACAAGCTGATTTGTCCCTTTAAAACACCAGAAAGGCTCAGGAAGTGAGAGTACTGAGAATCATGAAGGCAGAGTGCAGTCTGGGGTAGAAAATGAGGAAACTGGTTGAAGCTTTGTAGAGCAAGCAGTGAGACTGACAGACTCCACCCCTATTCTGGCAGCTAAATGACAATCCCTTTGCCACCCCCACAAAAGAAGGAAGGTATACTCTTTGGAAAAAAATAAACCAGTAATTTTAAATTCAGCCAAGTCATCAATCAAATATGAAGGGAGATACTTTCACACTTGTAAGTTTCAAGAAATTTCCTCCAATACACAAAGCAGGATAGGCTCCATCAAAATAAGAGAGTAAACCAAGAAAGCGGAAGACAAGGATATCAGAAAATAGAGACTCTAATTCGGGGAGACGGAGCCTGACATGAAGGGTGATGAGGAAGGGAAGCCCCAGGATGTAAGCCATCCAGCAGATCCGGAGAGCAGCGCGGACTTGCGTAGGAGGAAAAGGGGTACCTCAGGACAAAAAGTAAGGGTGGGGCTGAGTCACAGAGACTAACTGGTATTTTCGATCCTGACAAAAATTATATTATTGAGAGGTTGGCTACTGTGTAGGTAAAGTTAACAAATATATAAAATAACTAGCAAATAAAAAGAGGCAATTATTAACTCTGGGAGCATGTTTTAAAAAGAAATGTAATCATAGTATGCTACTTAGCTCAATGATGAAAAATATCTTGCATGTTTGTACCAAGGTGTTACTTGCGAGGAATTTAAATGTGGGCCCTATTTAAAAAGAACAGATTTACACGAATCTTTTAATTAAGTACTTAAAATGAAAAAAGGGGCAGGATCTTGTTTTGTGACTCCATAAAACTACCTTACTCACATAAAGAAAGAAGGAGAAGGGTTAAAGAAAATGTTGTAAAATCTGAGGCCTGCTGCTTATAAAAGGAAATTTGTCCCCACCAGGAAGATTTCATGGTCATGGCTGTTTCCTGCCCAGGAACATTTTGTGTTCTCTGATGGGACAACATGAGCATTAGCAGCAACAGGAGGTCAGCTCTAATTGACTCCTGAGTATGGCAGCTCTATTGTTAGTGGCTCAATGTCTGTGTTTCCTCCGTATTCATATGTTGAAGCCCTGACCCCCAATGTGATAGTATCTGTGGTGGAGCCTTTGGGAGATAATTAGGTATAGAGAGGTCATGAGGGTGGAGGTCCCTCAATGGGATTAGTGCCCTTCTGAGAAGAGGAAGAGACCAGAGTTCCCTTTCTCTGTCACGTGAGGACACAGCATGAAGATGGCCATCTGCAAGTCACAGGGAGAGGGCCCTCACCAGATGCTCAATCTGCCAGCACCTTGATCTTAGACTCCCCAGCCTCCAGAACTGTGAGAAATAAATTCTTGTTGTTTAAGTCACACAGTCAATGGTATTCACACAGTCACACTGTCAGAACCTGACAGTGATGACAGCCTGAGCTAACTAGGACCCTCTGCCTAGGAAAAGAAGGCTGCAGAGCACCCCCGCGGATGGCACCACTCAGGCTGTTGTACGGTTCTGTGTCTGAAAATAGGCAGTTATTAGAGAAAGCCTGTCTCCTAGCCCGAGAACAACCACTGAAACTCCAGAGCCCAAAAGCATGGAATGAGACCTTGGCTAATCCTTTCGCTGGCTTTTTTCTACGTCTAAAATTTCGCACTTGGTTCCTAAACAGAGGACTGTAACATTTTACTGACCTTTCAGCTATCAGCCATGGGTTGAAGGAGCCTACAGCCTCATGAGACAGGATCCGAAGGTACTGCTCAAATCGACTGCAGTAGTCACCAATGCTGTGACGCATACCCGCTGGGACAAAGAGGCGAGCTCGGCCTTCTTTCTGTTGAGAACCTTCTGCAAGGGAGAGAAGGGGAGCCTCTCTTTTCTCTGATCCCTCCTCTGTTCCCACACTTTCATCCAGGGAACTGAGAACAAATAAAATGATGAAAGCATTCACAATCATCTGTAAGCAAGGCTAAATAAACTGTTAATTACCCTCATGGTTTGATAGCCAAAGGCTCATCTTGATTTCTCTTTCTCACACTGAACAAAACTCAACATCCTAACACCAAACATTGCTTCTCCTTTTCAATGACCCAACCCTTGTCACCGTGGGAATACCTGTTCCTTAGACAACAGCATTCTTAAAGCAAATTGTGCAGTAAATATCAGTGCAACCCACATGTACTGATGTGATGCTTTCCACAATAAAAAAAAAAACAGCTAAGTGTTACTGAATATGGAAAAGCTCCTTAAGATGCAACATGAACTCAACGCCCATCTTATAAACATGCTATTTACTCAGCCATCTTGTTGTTTGGCAAGATCTTGCTCAAAGGAAGAATCTCTCTTTGTTTTATGGGAACTGAAGGAATTCAAAATTTAATAACATCAAAGGTAACCAACTAGAATGAAATCAGAAGGTGTCTTAGCCACTTACTTGCCATTACAGGGCCTTTCTAACATGATGTTCACTGCTGGATCCTTGCGATCCACTGTCTTCATGATTCTGATTGGATGAGGAGACAGAGGCTTTTCACTTATTGCTGAGATTTTTTGGTCTAGAAAAGGAAGGTCATAAAATGACTGCATATAAAGAATACTTGGTGTCCATTTTAGAGCTGTCCTAGTGGCCAAGAACCTGACAGCAAGTCACATGGACAGCTCTTAAGCACAATAAGGTTGGCTAGCAGTGCAATGCGTAAATGCTCGTTTTAAACGCAAAGGTGGATTTACATGTTACAAAGAAACCAATGAGGAATAAGTTTTAAGAAATAATGAACTTGCTCTGAGGAAGGTTTTTTTAAGGAGGTCTACGCAAAGCCCCTGGCTACATGGCTTCCATTAGGACCCAGCCACCCACTCAAGGAGTCTTAGCAATTGGGTTTTTTAACCTTTAAATGCTTTGATTACTGAAAAAAAAAAAAAAAAAAAAAAAAAAAAAAAAAAAAAAAAAAAAAAAAAAAAAAAACACTCACACCTGAACACTTAATTAGTTGATTTAATTTGTCTCTGGGCAATGCTGAAAAAATCTGCATGATGATAGTCAAAACATTAATTTATTAACTATGACTTGCAGGCCTGACAGCTCTTCCGAGTTTCAGATTATTTATAATTTTAAATGTATTTCAAGTGTAGCAAGAAAATTTGTCCTCTTAAGTAGGGAGCATCTATATGTCAAGCGACTCAGCTCACATTTATATGCTTATAATTTTTTTGCTGTCAGACAGAAGTACTATATAAGTCAGGTTCTGTAAAACTATGACTGAAAGGACAATCAAATTTTCAACTGTTCTCAGAGGAGACAGGAGATACAGATACTGCACAACATAAAGATCACTTTAAATTCGGTTTTGTGATGCAATTAAGCTAAACAATCAGAACAAGCAGAAACAGGACTCTTCCTATGATTCCATGATTCCAGAATGTGTCCAAAGCCTCATTTTAGTTCTTAGTGTCCTAGAGAGATCCTTTTAAATGCATACCTAGACTCTCGGCAGAGTCACAGATAGTGACTAATAATTTAAATCATCCTTGAAAACAGAGAACACAAAGTACTCTGCAAGACTGTCTTCTACGTGATGCAACCCAACTTTGTGGCCAGTGGCCAAACCATCAGGGAAACGAACTGCCCTCCATTTACTTTTCCTCTGCTTCCACACAGAAAGATGCTAAAATGCCCACGGACTGACTAAACAATGGCAAAAAGGGCCCTTGCCAGGCCAGCCCTGTTCTAGACACAGTGGGGAGTACATAATGGCAAACTCTCTGGTCCCAAATAATCTGTGGCTTAGTTCAGAGAGATAAGACACCTTCACTAACACCCTGAATGCAAGGTAGGACATGCCAGAAAGTGCTATGGGCATTCACAGGCCAGGAAGGGAGCTGAGTTCCAGTGCAGAGACACCAGGGAAAGTACAGGCCAGTAGGCTCACAGAGCCCGGCTTGAAGAACAGCTCGACTACTATGTGAGGATGAAAATGGAGGCTGGAGGAGGGCTGAGGAGAAGAGAGAACAGCAGGAGCAAAATGCGTAGCGCTTGAAAACAGAGAACACACAAAAGGAACACATCAGTGTTTTGTTTAAATGGCTCATCTTTTGGTCAAAATATGACAGGGAGAGTATTTTTTCTAACACAAAACCTCAAAGTCCTATTTTACATAATTAAATGTGACACAGGCTGCTGTGGTAAACCTTCTATGCCCAATTTCCTTTTGTCTTCATAAGGGTAGAACTCACGGGGCTTACATTTCTGTAGAGGTAATGTTTAACTATACTTTCTTCTCCTCCTTTCCGTGAGTAAGGCAGGAACTGCCAAGCATGAGTCAAACAGAATTTGAGTAATGCTTCCCAGCCAAAGTGGGGATAGTAACCTAGTGATTGCAGCCCAAATACACATGCATAAATTTGAAAAGCAGAAAAGCAAAAATCTTTTCAGTAAACGGAACTAGAACAAATGTTTTTTCCATTAGGAAAAAAAAAAAGATTGACCCAACCTCTACCTCAAATCACAGACAAACTTTTATGCAAGATGCATCATAGACCTACACATAAAATTAAAACCATAAAGCCTCTGGAAGAAAACAAGAGAATCTCTTCCCCATTTCGGAGCAGGTAAAGGTTTCTTAGGTCATAGAAAGCAAACACCACTCAAAAAAAATTGGTAAGTTAGACTTTTTCAAAATTAAAAATATCTGCTCATAATAAAACATTTTTGGAAATAAGCAGCCGAGCCACCAATGGGAAAAAATTTTGTGAAAAACCTCTGAGTAGACTGTTGGCTGCCAGGGTGGGGGAGAGAAGAATGGGGAGTGATGAAAATGTTCTAGAATTAGCTGTACAACTATGTGAACACACTAAAAACTAAAGAATTGTACAGTTTAAAAAGGTTTTAAGTATTTACATACTTAAAAAAATTAAGTATGTAAATTACCTCTTTAAAATTATTTTTAAAAAACAAAAAACCAAACAAAAACATCTATCTGAAAAAGAACTTGGGCTGGGTGTGGTGGCTCATGCCTGTAATCCCAACACTTTGGGAGGCTGAGGTGGGTGGATCATGATATCAGGATTTCAAGACCGGCGTGGCCAAGATGGTGAAACCCCCTGCACTAAAAATACAAAAATTAGCCAGGTGTGGTGGCGGGTGCCTGTAATCCCAGCTACTTGAGAGGCTGAGGCAGGAGAATCACTTCAACCCAGGAGGCAGAGGTTACAGTGAGCCAAGATCGCACTACTGCATTCTAGCCTGGGCGACAGAGCAAGATACAGTAT